TATTTACTGTAACAAGTGGAAAAAAAAAAATTACCTGACCGTTTTCAAGAGTTGAATTTTGAAGAACTTTAATTAAAATCGCTAAAAGATACTTTGGAAATCGGGAAAGCTCATTTCCCACCATTTAGAAATCAACATTTTCCCGGGGAGAATCCGAACCTCCCTTTTCTCTTTGGGTTCATTGATTCATTATAATGATTATAATGATTTATTATAAGGGGAAACCTTGAATTTTGAAGAACTTAAAAGTAATTAAAAGACAACTTAGAAGTCGGGAAGCTCATTTCCCGCCTTCTAAGAATCAAAATTTTCCAGGGGGAGAACCTCGGACCCCCTTTTTTGGGGGATTTGTCGACTCATGGAAAAAAAATCGTATGCAACTACTCAATTTTGGTTTATGTATGTATACACACATAAGGCATATCTACTGTAATAACAATGGGGGAAATTTACCTGACCGCTTTCAAGAGGGGAAAGCCTTGAATTTTGAAGAACTTAAAAGTCGCTAAAAGATGCTTCAGAAGTCGGGAAAGCTCATTTCCCACCATTTAAAAATCAACAATTTCCCGGGGAAAACCTGAACCTTCCTTTTCTCTTTGGGTTTATTGATTCATTATAATAATTTTCAAGGGGGGAAAACCTTGAATTTTGAAGAACTTAAAAGTAATAAAAAGACACCTCAAAAGTCGGGGAAACTAATTTCCGCCTTCTTGGAATCAAAATTTTGCAGGAGGAGAACGCCCAGACCACCCTTTCTTTTTGGAATTTATCGATTCATGGGAAAAAAATCGTATGCGACTTCTCATTTTTTTTTTTTATGTATGTATACACTCATAAGGCCTATTTACTCTAAAAGCAATGGGAAAAATTACCCGATCGTTTTCAAAAGGGGAAAATCTTGAATTTTTAAGAACTTAAAAGTAATTAAGACACCTCATCGCAGAAGCTCATTTCCCGCCATCTAGGAATCAAACTTTTCCCAGGGGAGAACCCCTGACCCCCCCCCCTTTTTCTTTGGAGCTTATCGATTCATTGAAAAGAGAATACGTAGGCCTACGCAACTACTCATTTTTTTATGTATGTTTACACACAGGCTTATTTACTGTACTAAGAATGAGAAAGTTTACCTGACCGTTTTTAAGAGGGGGAAAACCCTGAATTTTGAAGAACAAAGTCATTAGACACCTAGCTCAAAACTCGAGAAAAGTCATTTCCCGCCATCTAGAAATCAACATTTCCCGGGGAAGGACCCCGGACCCCCTAGATTTGATTCCATATCTGCATGATTCATATTCCCATTCATCTTATAAGCGCCCCCCCCCTCCACTTTGAAAAACGTTCCGTCGGCCCTGCAGCATTAGTATATTTACAGGTAGTCTGTCAGGAACGGATTCATCTTCGGAAATGTTACAATCTTTGTATGGTTTATTTAACGTGGTACAACCTACATGGGGAGAGTAATTAGGTATTCCTTGACTTTCTATGTTTGGCAGCCCCTGAAAGGTGGCTCCGGGAATAGCCTCCGTATTAGCTTGGCATTCATTCAGGCCTTGTATCATAAATTGTAGGCGTTATTCCAACAGCCACTGCGTATCCTTTTTTCTTTTTATGTTTCTCTTTATGATTTTCGGCCATCGCACATCACTGTCGATAAATAAAAGATTTTACTACAGCGTAGGTGTTCAGCGACGATTGACAGCTCAGTTGACAGTTCTTACAGCAATTTAGGTGTTTAGTTACATAACAGCTATGCAGTGAAACTGCGGCTTCTTTGTTGTTAAGGAAAACAAAGAAGCCGCACCAAAATGGAAAAAAAAAACTATGTACCATCAATGCAGGCTAAAAATAGTTCAAAACACGAATCATGCAATAGTAAGGTGCATAGATAGTGTAGATGATGATAATCGATATACGTGAAGAGTTTGATTTAAAGGTGACGTTTAGCAACCAATCGCTGTGCTGGGGTTGGGGAGTGCCCTTATACTGATCGACATCACGGGCGAGAGTGGCACCCAGAACGCAATTATTTTTTTGTAGGTAAGTTTGGTAAAATTTCATGATTTATTCAAGCCCTTGTTAATGGGCCTTGTATTTCAATCACGATTAGCATCCAATCACTGTGCTGGGGTTGGAGAGTGCCCTAATACTGATCGACCCCACGGGCGAGGTGGCACCGAAGACGCAATTTCTTTTTCGTAGGTAAGTTTGGTAAAATATCATGAATTATTCAGAACTCTTCTTCAGACCATTTTTTGCACCTACGCTACAGTACTTTCAATTCTGTGTCAACCCATGGTCAGTCTAGTATCAGCTGCTCTGTACATTATCGCGGTAGGATCTACTTTTTAGCCTTTGTTTATGAGCCTTGTATTTGGATAAATGAAATAATAAAACCAGTGATTGAATTGACTCAGTTGATTCTGAATTTAATACATTAGCCTAAGTTTAGTATCCGGATCACAAAATTATCAGACAGAAAGAGAGGGAAGAGTTTAGAAGAAGGGTAGGCCTATTATACTGCTGTATGTTCAACAATGGACTGAGGGAAACGCCACTGTCGTAGACTTTGTCGATTCTGATACGAATAATGATCGATAGCAGTTGCAGATCTAGGGGGAGTGAATATGGTGGCTAGCCACCCCCTTTCGGTTACCGTTAAATGTATGATCACTCGTTCTTGTGTATGTGTGTTTCTCGTGAATACATGATACGTGGAAAATAGACGGCACCCTGTAAAACATACACTGTTACTCTTTTAAGATGCCATCTAAGAGCGTCTAGTCGTCTACTAATTTTTAAAAAAAATCTCAAATGGGAGGGGAATTAAGTACTGTTTTTTACATAATCTACAAATTTGGCCGAGAAAAGACCGGTTAAAATCCGCTCCTACAGTTAGTATTTGGCATGGCGTTTCCTATTTAGGGCAGGCTAGATTGAGTAAAGAAGAATTCTGTTACATCGTAAATGCTCGTCTCAATTAACAAATAGAGGGGATTTTAACTAATTTCCAATTTGGATTATGTTCTGGTGAATGCACAACTGATGCCTTAATTTAACACACTTCATAATCTGTACAAATATCCAGGCTGTTTAAATTATCTCACATTTTCCGTGTCGATGACCTCATCGTGTCTTGGATTGTCTCCTGGCTTTGCAATGGCACTCGACAAAATTTTTTGTTTTATCTTATTCTCTCTGAAAACGTTCTTTAAGTTCAGAGTTATTCAAGAAAGTAAACTTGGACCATTTTATTTATTTTGTTTCATTAATGGCATTATTGGCCTTATTTACTCAATTGCTTCTCCTGGCATTACGACTGATGATTAAATCATACTGTAATTTATAGATCCACCCTTTGCTTTGTTACCAATCTCTGCTTCTAAAATTGAATCCTGGCCTGCACCAAACGGTCTTGTCTTCTCTCCAAGTAAAAGTGTTATGAGCATTTGTTTTTCAAAAATTCCGATTTGAATGTGTTTCAAATCTAAAATACTTAAGGCATTATTATTTCTTATGATCTAAAATGGCATTTCCACAAAACTGCACTTCGTAAAATCTCCATATTGCAATTTTTCAAAACAACATTAATAATGACACTATGATTATAATTTATGAAACACATACACAACCCTATTTGAATACTCCAGTTGTATATACGTATTGAGCTTCCATTTGCTTTCTTATTAATTCCGCTTCGTTCTCGAACTTATCTTAAAACTTTTTTCTAACTGTAGCATCACTTCTTTCGAAACTCGTCATATTAAGAAAAGTTTCTGTTTTATGTATTATATTGTATCTTGCGAAAATTAGCCCTTGAGGTTTTTAGCATTAATAAATTGAAATTGAATTGAAATTGAATTGAAATTGAATTGAAATTGAATTGAAATTGAATTGAAATTGAATTGAAATTGAATTGAAATTGAATTGAAATTGAATTGAAATTGAATTGAAATAAAATTAAAATAAAATTGAAATTGAAATTAAATTGAACTGAATTTATAAACCGAAAGTTGCAATTTGGAAAAAAAAAATAGACTTATGGTACAGACTTAAAAATTCAAATAAATATAATTGTTGTATCGGTGTATTTTTACATTGATGCTTACTTTCTGGTTTGAATGGAAATTCATTATCTAATGGAACATCATCCTCTTGGGCATCACCATCTTCAGCAGCACTATCACGTGCACCAGTTGGGTCAATAAGAATATTTGTAGAATGATACCTCTCAACACCTTCAGCCTGTTGAAAAAAAATTAATTGATGAAAAAGGTAAAACCACGTTAGTCTGCTTAACAACTATTTTCAAGTAATGACATAATTTATCACTTTAAAGATCAGCTACTGTAAAGCTCATTATTTTCGCAATAAAGCGATGATCTCGAAAATTAAGGATGCGTGAAAATCGCAAAATTCTATATAATAGTTTTTTTTTTTTCTAGCTATCTAAAATACAACTGATATTCCATCAATAAAGATTTCGTGTAAATGTTCTTGCTTCTTTGTGTATTATTTTTCAATCATTCAATCATATTTTATTATATATGTGTGTAGAATGATATATATTTGTAGAATGATACCTCTCAACACCTTCAGCCTGTTAAAAAAAAATTAATTTATGAAAAGGTAAAACCGCGTTAGTCTGCTTAACAACTATTTTCAAGTAATGACAGAATTTATCACTTTAAAGATCAGCTACTGTAAAGCTAATTATTTTCGCAATAAAGCGATGATCGCGAAAATTAAGGATGCGTGAAAATCGCAAAATTCTATATAATAGTTTTTTTTTTCTTCTAGCTATCTAAAATACAAATGATATTAAATCAATAAAGATTTCGTGTAAATGTTCTTGCTTCTTTGTGTATTATTTTTCAATCATTCAATCATATTTTATTAAATTTAATCACAATGAGTATTATAAATTGCTAAACGCAATATTCTTATTCTGAGAATATTTAGTTATCTTGGCTAGTAAATGTGTATATATTTTCGCTAGTTTCCGTCCAGGCAGTGGAGTTCGTAAGGTGACTGTATTATTGAGATATGTAATATCTATAATATCAGCCATAAAGAGTGGATGTGCTGAAGGCAACAAGGTACAATATGAAAAGTTGTAGATGAAGGAACAAACAGCGAATAAAAAATTAACCGGTTTTCTAAGTACAAACGATTAATGTGCATACAATAGGTTGTATAGCAGATTTTCATAAAATATTTTATAAAGTTTAAGAATGATAATAATATACAATAAACCCAATTAAAGCAAAAGGCAACGGAACTAAGATGGCGAGTTAAATGGTCGAGTTATCAAGGTAGTGGCACCGCAACATATAGCCATAAAATATCGGCGCTGGTTCGAGCGGCACGTTCACCTATGTTTTGTTAAGAAAATAAGACTTCTTAGATAAAAAATATAAGCAGTAGGCCCAGTGTACACAATTGGCTAATGTGCACTAAATAGAACGCATTACATCTTTCGAGTCGAAGAGGGGGTTATCCAGGTGTACTGGTCCATCTCATAGCTCCTGTCATTGCACACAGCGAAATCAAAGTGTGCTAAAAGTTTATTTTGGTGACTATGGCTTTTAAACTTTTTTTTGTGAAGAAGGGTATACCCTGGAGAATCTACACTGAAAATATTTTACATTAAAAAAAATTTAAGGGTGGTATTTTTCTACGAAGGTCGGGAATCGCCTAATAAATATTTTAAATGCTATAATTGACAAAATGATATTAAACCACGATTGTTGTATTAAAGAAATTTCAGAATTATTTCAATGTGTACACGTTTCTTGTACAGTAATTGGAGAACTAATAAATCATTGTTTAAACCACTGAAAAAAAATATTAGGAATTGTGTTTTTAGAAAAGAAGGGGAGAAAGTTTAGATTCATGTGGATTCATGTTTTAACTTCTATATCACCATCTTCAGTATATTCTTGGCTTTATGATGGTGCAAAACAAACTCGTGGTTTGACAACAGCATTACTTGTTCGGGTGAATTTATAATGTTTTAACTCAGAACAGAGGACAAGATATTCCTTTCATTTCAGCAGAACACACACCGGAGACAACCCAAACCGGGACGTCCTATCAAAGTATAAGAGAATCTTTCTGAGAGATTGCGAAAGAGAAAAGCATGTTGACACAAAATGAACCTATTGAACTTCTCAAGAAGAATCGGTATCTGAAGTATGTGCTAAAATTTTCAATGATGACTCCGTCATGTCCTACCACGTTAAGGACACTCATCACAAAACCTGTAGGCAAACCGGAATATTTCAAGGCAGATCAGACATTGTCCCTCTTCGTACAATCAGACATGACTAAACGATCTTACCAAACGGTGAGATGTGGCGCAAAACGCAAAATGGCTAACATCTACCCTCCTTACAACAAAATAAGAGAAGCAAAAAAGCAATGCTATCCTGTTGGTATATCTGCAGTCGAAGAGGATTCAGCAAAATTACCACTTCAAATCCTTCTTTATCACACTGTACTGAGAATCATCCAGGAACAAACAGAGACCACTACATAATTTATTGAAAACCTTGAAAATGAACCATTTTCATGCAAGCTAATTTGTCAATGGGGGTCTGACGGGACGTCTGGCGAGAGTCAATACAAACAAACGTTTAGAAAAACAGATAATTTTGATAAGAGCAAGTTTTGTACCACACTTGTTCCTCAGCAACTGAGGTTTGGAAAACGCGTCAACACAATTTCACCATCCAATTCATTTGCAATTCAAAAAATGAAACTATAGAATTAATTCAAGAAGAATACGATGGAATTAATTCAGCAACTACAGCCTATGAATGTAACATTGGATGATATAAACTACGATACGGATGCAGCCAATCCAAGAAAAGACAATATATGTAACTTTTGATTGGCAATTGACAATAGTTGACCAAAAAGTTATTAATGCACTGACAGAGACCAAGTCATCTATGCGGTGCTTTATTCAGTGGCTTCGCCCCCCCCCCCCCCACTGCGCCCCTGATGTGGCTAATGAGGTTCACTGACATTTCTACATATCGATGATTGCTCGAATTCAGCTCAACCAGTTTGTAGTTTTGACTTGCAAAATTACGGGAGACTTCGCTGTTGTTCTAAAATCACTCAATGGATGTTTAATTTATATTGTGTAGTTTTAGTTTACAGTACAGTATGAAATCACAGGCATTTATACAAACTCACAGTATTCTCTACACACTTTTCTTTGTTGTAACACAATGGTTAAAGTACAATCTCCTTCCCGTTATTCATGTTTCTAAGATTTAACTGTCATTCGTATTAAGATACAAAATACAAGAGTTTGATCATGGTTTTAAAATGTTCTGTATAATGAATTAACTGCTATAAAACAATATGATGTTCATTTTGATTCTTTAATTCCATAGAAATTTCATTTAATTTATACATTTTATTACATTATTACGCCACTACTGGCTATATTTGTGGGGCTACTCACAAATCCAGCGTATTCCAGCATGTTCAGAACACGTTGGATCCAGCGTGTTCAGAACATCGCAGCCCGTTTGGTTCTCCACATCCCAACAAGGCAGCACATCACAGCAGCATTGGAGCAGCTACATTGGTTGCCAGTTGGGAAAAGAGTGATTTACAAGATACTCCTTATTACATTTAAATCTCTTGTCTCTTAAATTTCTCTTATTTTTTATTTATTAAAATCTTCTCAATTTGTTGTTGATTGTTAAGCGCGATATATCAAATTGAACTTCATTAATATTATTACTCCACAAATATTTAATGACATAAAAGTATTACCTAGCAAAGCTGAAGAAAATTACAAGTATGCAATTATAAGTGGATTCGATGCTTTGAAATGCTGCTTCATGTTTCATATCGTGTTCATGTAAACAAAGTGGCGTGTGTCATCAGGACAAGATCGGATAAGACACTAGTTATAAGAAAGAAAGAAGTTCATCATCGGATTCATGCTGTACTTTATTAAAGGTTGATAAACCAAAGCAGGTTCTGAAACACAAACGACAGAAACACTGCGCGAAAACATTAAGGATGAAAAGATATTTGCAGATTTTTGTGGTTTGGATGGATCTCTTGACTACAGAATGCATATGGACCTCATTGCTATATCGTGCAAACTTCCCTTGGAACCGGAGAAATTTGGAATATTTTGTTGGAATACCTACGTATCAACGTTTACCCATGGTTCATAATGCCAGTGAGTGTCCATGTTCTGTTTATAAATGGAGCAACAATTCTGGCTTCCTCAGTGCTTATAATTGGCATAATGAGCGAAGAGGCGCAAAAAGCCAGACACAAGACAATAAATTATTCCGGCTTAAGGAAAAACCTCACGAGTTGACAATGAGCAATGTTTTACATCGACGTATGGTAACAGGTGAACCGTTATCAGTAGTAGGTCAATGAAAGAACCACAATCAGAACCGCTACCTACTGAAGTAAAGAATATGCTTAAAGACCAAAGCCTTCAAGTGGTTGACAGCGACACTTCAGAAAGTGAGGAATCAAAAGAAGTTTAGTATTGAAATTTTAATCTCGACAAACATAATTTATTATACTACAGTAGTATGACCAAAAAAATTGTGTAGTACATAACTATGCTAGTGTTCTGTAAAAAGAAACTGTATCGTTATTTCACGAAATAATTAACATAAATAATAATTATATATTTTTGAACATTATAAAAACGTGCAAATCAAAAGAAAGAAATCATTCTAAATTAGTAGAAACTTTATTTTTCAAGCATTTTAAGCATTTGATTAAACAAGGGTGTAGGCCTGATGTCTGACAGCTCCATGGAATTTATCAGATCAAAAACTACATTTTTAACTTTTTCTTGGTATTAGGCCAATTTTGTGTGTGTGTGTGTTGGCCACGTTTTGAGAAAATCCAAAAAATGGGTAGGTCGGTAGGAAAACTGTTTTTACAACCAATGTGTTTATGCTTAAAAAGTAGAAAATACACAAATAATACAACAATTTTGGAGTCGCATCGCATAACATCCAGCAAAATAGGTTAGCCTTGGCCTTCTAACCTCACCAAGGCTATTCCAGCCTTATTTGCTCATAAAAAACATTGTTTGTTGTATAAAAAAAAAAATAAATAAAAAAATGCCGACCCTTAATTTCGTAAAATTTGGGTTGGTCATGCGTGACCAACACAATTGTTTTGGCCTTATTATAAATTTTCGCTCCCTGTAATCCAATTCGAAAATGTATTTTGGTGACGTCATTGAAAATAGAAAATGCTCTCACAGAATTTCTTTGTCCCGAAATTCATTATACATTTCAAAAACATTATAATATAAACTTGTTTTGGTACAATAAAAACTGACATCGTCCAATCAGAACACAGTACAGTAGTGACGTCATATAATTTAAAAATGCTTCTATTGAATTCTACGTGTATGAAAACCTCTAGAAACGTCTTATGTTAGCTTAAATTAGCTTTTGAAATGAGTAATTAATTTTGGCACACTTGACTTCAGTCTGGTCCACTGTGCGACGCCATTTTGAAAACGCCAACGGGATCCTTAGGGGAGAAAAGTTAAGTTGTAAATATGAGTAGTCCACATCTGACGAAGCCTTCAAATATGAAGTTGGCCCTCAATCTAGAAAGAAAAAGTGAGAGAAGGGAGGTGCTGTGCAAAAGAAGCATGTAGTATTTTATTGGGTATATGAGCAATAATCATCGGAAACAATAAAACAGTCATGGAAGAACTTCTTGGTGTTTCCGAAAGTATAGTACTCCCACTAGCTCCAGGTAAGGAGAGATAAGGACATTTCGACAAATCAAAAACCAGATTTGAAAGTAGTCCAATACCATCTCACAAATCTCATTAACAACTGTTGATTTTGTTTCATAACCCACATTTCCATATTTATTCACTCTCCGCTAGTTGACATCGGGCAGTCGCTGCAGCACTGCCCGGACTGCTAGATACGTTTAGTATTGGTTCTTTTACTTCCTCTAATGGGCTTGGCAGCGCGTGTGCAAAGAACCCGTGCATGTTTCACCTGCAGCTTAAGTGTGAGCTTGTCTTTTAATCCAGTTTAGCTCTTTCCATACTTATTTTATTAATTTATATATTTTATATTGTTTCTTATCTTTATTGAAAGTGCATTATTAAATGACATTTTATTTGCTGCCATGGAGTTTGTATTCGATTGTATTATGTTTAAAAAAAATAAAAACACCGATACATGTATTATATATTATTATTATTATTATTATTATTATTATTATTATTATTATTATTATTATTATTATTATTATTATTATTATTATTATTTATTGAGGCAAAAGATATATATATAAATATATATATCGCGCCTCAGGATATTGGTTAAGTAACAATTATTGTTGTGTCTTCTTAATAATGTAATAATAATAATAATAATAATAATAATAATAATAATAATAATAATAATAATAATATAGTAATAGTGTAGTAATGGTAATATCAGTAGTAACAGTAATATATTATATTTTCCTTAAGAACCTAATGAGAACGGATGTTTGAATTGGTAAATATAAACATTTAACCACTAGTTTATCAATATCAAACGTCTTTACTTTATATGATGTTTGCTTGGAGAATTTGAAGATGATTCAAGCACGAAAATTGACCAGTAGAAAAAAAGAGAAAAAGGACAGAAGAAGACAGAATAGAAGAAGTAAAAAACATATTAAAATAACACAAAAAGGTTTGTCAGCTGTAGCATGGAATAAAGTAAAAATAGAAAATATGGCGGTTACAATTTAAAATGATCATGGTAGTGGCTGCCTGATAAATAACGTTGTTTGATCTTCAAAATAACAAAAATATCAGTAGACATTTATTCATTTTCTAGAAAAGTACTTACCACAACTAAAATATTTTTCTTAATGCCGTCATTTGAAATACTTGAAAAAGCTTTGATTTCTATTTCGTAAGTTCCAACATCTAGGGGTATGATATTGAATGTTGTGGTTTTGGCGTCATTTTGTGGTACAGTTAGTTCATGTTTCTCACTCCTTTTTCCTGGAAGACTTTCAGAACACACACCTTCTCGTCCATACATGTACACATGTGCCTTAAGAATCATGAAAGAAATTTTTAATATAAAATGTACTACTCAGGATTTAAAATATTTATAAGTTAAACATTATTTCTAAGCAGACTTTAAACATTCTAATATACTCAAATGTGTTATGCTGGGCACAAAATGCGTCGGCCAATAAGTCAGTGTCTGCTCTATGTGCATCCTGCACGGACAAAGACGAGTTGGGCGCATTATATTCATAGATTCGCGCCAGAATTTTGTTGAGCGCTGGTCAGAATAAGTGGTGTTTCTTTGTCGGAATAGGTCATATAGAGGGCGTGACAATGAATGGAACTCCAAGAAAAGATCTAACCGGTCGTTTTGCTCAAAAATCTGTTCGCCCTCGTAACAAATTCACCTATGGTCGTTTCGCCTATTTTACAATGACGCTGCAAGTTATGGGTTATTCTCCTACCTTTACCCTTTACCTTTACCAAACGAGCTAGGCCACTTTTGATTGATTTTTTAATGATTAATTGATGCAGGTCATGAAGCTATTACTAGTTCTGTTACTTTATTTGCAATTTTAATTATATCCACATTTTTAGTTTAATAATAAATTTTCATTCATGGTATAGATACACAAATAATACTGACAGACTTTTAATAGAAATAGGTCTAGTACAACGTAGGTAAATAATGCTTAAATGAAGTTTAGGCTATCCTAATGTAAATTTCATGATTTTTTTTAAACAAATAGACTCTGCGTTTTGTTTTCATTTGTAGTGCTTTTTTTAGGCCTCAGCACAGCACTGAATACATTTTTGTTTTTATGGGGACAATATTCGTGGGAAATTTATAAAGAAGGGAGTTATGTTAATGGAGGAGGTATGCACTTTCAGAGTGCCCTATATTTAATTTTTTTTACTCTTGTAAATAAGAATCCCGAGCGAGTCATGGACCTTGATTTTGACTTATGGATATATCTATTTTAGTCAGACTGCATAATCAGAAAAACGCTGAGCGTCTTACAAATTTGTGAGAACTAATGTGTTGTGAGTGTGTCAAAGTGATTACTATTTATTATTATTATTATTATTATTATTATTATTATTATTATTATTATTATCATTTTCACTGCTATGTGAGGATTTTCATCGTTGTTATTGTTATTATTATTATTACTATTACTATTATTATTATTATTACTATTATTATTATTATTATTATTATTATTATTATTATTATCTCCGCCAGGAGGCATTTAGTACGTTAAAAGCATAAGTCCAATATTAACCGATTTTGAAATTACCTGACCCAGAGAAAATATTTATATTAGCTCTAGATGCATGTGATGTTACCACCCAAACCAACAAAAAATAGCCACAACAACCCAGCCTATCCCAACACTAGAAGCACAAGATCGACGTATAACACAATTACCAGATCTGGTCGAAAAATCCGCCGACCAACACGCTTCGGAGACGCGTAACGCAATCGATGATCACAATAATCATAACAAAGAATAGCCAATAGTGAATACAACAGACAATTCATTAAAACCATTTAATATAATACTGTACTGAAACTCATCATTATATTATGTTTAATCAACTTAAATCGAAAATAATATGCACATTGTCATTAATTAGTAACTGAATATCCAGAATGTGCAACAATCGCATTTAAGTTTTATGATGTTAAACAATGTTTTTAGGAATGATATTAATGTTTATGAAGTTACCTTTATGAAGTTAAAAAATATTTCATTACCTTAATTATCACAATATGATACAGTGTGTTTATGAATCTTGTGAAATTAATGATTATGGAGTTACAAGTGTTTCATATTTTAGTTATCACGATATGAACTAGGCCTATGCATTAGGCATCAGTTAAACAACGTTTAAAACATTATTTAATGCATCCTGTTTAAAGTTTAAAGCTTATTGTATTGCTATTTAAGCAATAACGAATTAACTGTAAAGCTTTTCGAAAGGAGGGGGATGTTGTGATACGTTTTGTTAGTGAAGTAAGTCAGCCGTGCATACAGACGCACGCACACGCATGGAACCGACCCGATCCACGGCGGTACCTACCGGCATATCTAAATAAACTACCGTACATGTTATGTTACATAATAGTTAATAGTATGTGTGCCTGCCTGTTACTGTCTCAACGACTACCCAGGAACACAACAATGGGTCTAAATGAAAATTTCCAGAATAGTTTGTCATGGTCCAATGAAGAAATTATTATATTTTGGTGACGAATCATTATAATAGGGTGTGGCTATGAGGACCATTCAAAGCAAACATTCCCAGACCAGATATTAAAAAGACTGATCTGATCGAAATTTTCTTGAAAGTTTAACCTAGATACAAGGAAGAAATCATCAAGTGTTGGTGAAAATCCAAATTCGGATGTCATTTAAAGTTCTTACGACCCAGTTATAAATTGATCAAAATGAAACTCTGCAGAGTAGGTTGTCATAATCCAATGAAGAAATAATCAAATTTTGGTGACAATCTACGGTGTGGATATGATATGGCTGTGGATCTACGGTGTGAATATGAGGACCATCTAAAGATTTTTTTTTTTTGGACAGTTTATATTAAATTATATAAACGCAATAAGCGTTTAAACAAGCTAAAGCTAGGTTAATCTACTCAGAACTACCGTGATATGCATGAACAATTTTTGTTTTCAGTCAATTTTTAACGGGTTCTTTTTTTCTTTTTTTTTCAACTTTATTTTTCATTATAGCAATGAGGAAAAGCCCTATGTTCTGTTGTACAAACATACATAGTAAGTCTAGTTTAAACTTAGTATCGTATCGAACTCGAGTCAAGTCAGTCCGAGACGGGCCGAGTGGAGTTTCACGCAAATGTTTTGTACGGGGAAAAAAATTACTGTCGACTCAGCGGGTTTACGAAAAGACAAAATGCTCTGGCGCAGTCCGTTGCCGGCTTCAGTAACTACTGTTTATGAAAGTAATACCTAATATTTTGTTATTTTTAATATAAATTAATACAACAACCACCTAAAAGACAAATCCATTTTATTACAAAAATAAATTATTAATAATTTACTTCACACACTTACTGTTGTTTCTCTACCTCCGTAATTAAAAAGTGTCGCTTGAACTTGTGTCTGTTCGCCTCTGATAATCGAATATGGCATCTTAAGCTGTAAAAACACATCTTTAGTAACCCTTATGTTTCCTGTATCGGCCACACACATTCCCATTGTACTTGAAACAGATGAAGCTTGCACAATCCAATTGGTAATACTATCAGGCACAGAGTATACTACTTTTTTTTCTCTATTACTAGGGACATTACAAAAGAAAAATAATGTTCATAAATAAATTTGAAATGTCAAATATTCTTTATTATTGCTGGTGCATTTACGCATAGTAACAACAAATAGCGTTATACTGTAAAGAGTTGCAATATTAGTTGACACGTATAATAACAAGTATAATAAAATATTATTTACATTATGAGTGCTGTTTCTACCAATTACAATGGACCTTTCGATTAGATACCCCTCTAATTCCAAGACCACAGTAATTCGAGACCACTTTTTTTTATAAACCTATAGAGCAATATTCAATCTTTTAACAAAAAGCTAATCCTCTAAATAGAGAACGAACCCTGGATCACCCCAAATGCTGAGGTCACCGGCATGGTCTTGAAATCTACTATACACTTTACATTATATTGGATTCTATGTTAAGTAACATAATATTACCTACAAAGTAACTTCCGATAACATGATTTACTGCCACAACTCCATAATTTTACAAACTTTTTTTCATAAAAATATACGATTTATTGTAATATGTTATACATTTAGGATAGTATACATTGATATCAATTATGAATTGCTTACATAATAGTGTACTCGTCAAAAATCCAGGTTTCTGGGAAATTACTTCGAACATTTACCAAATTCTCATCCTCTTCAATATCGACATCGTTACCCGCACTTCGACCAATTATAAAATCACGTTCGGCTTGTTTTACAAGACAGCAATTGTAAAAAACCACAATTACTGGATCCAGATTTGTTAGTACTGGAGGACTGCCAATTTCATCAGGAATAACAATCCTTTTTCTTTTAGCAAATTTCTTAATCCGCTGCTCGCACGTCTTTCCGGGGATGTTAAGAAAACCATCTTCACAAGCTGAACACAATGTAGTATTGGATTTAAATTCATCAAAGCAAGTTTGTTGGTTACCTGAAATTGAGATAAAAACTGTTCAAACTACACAATTTTATAAAGCATTTCAAATTCTAATACAATTTTTCTAAATAATTCACTTAAATGAAAGTTGAACTCACCGTTTAATGCACGTTTACGTCGTCTTTCCGATAACATTGGACATCCGTAACCTACAGAGAAATATAAATGTGGTTAATAATACAATAGGCTCTAATCCAACGGAATATGTTGATGCAGTATATTTGCCATATTATTGTAATTACTTAATTGGATTGGATCTAATATCGTTAATATTACATAATTACATAATTATGATGTGCTCGTTACATATTTCTAATAGTTCATGTGTTGAAAATTAAATAAAATAATACCTCGTTCGGCCTCTATTTGTGATTTTGTGAAAAAAGTTTGATGAAGATAATCAAGATGCCAAAGAATAAAAAAAATGAAAAAAAATGATGTAATTTTGCGTCTCTTCTTGGTGTCGGTGACGATATCTCGATATAGGCCTATGCAATGACCAAGCTTCAAAGTAAAATAACTTACTATGACATGGCAGTGAATAAAAACTTCACCTAATCAACAAAATAATATTATGTATGTACATCACACAAAAATTGATTCATGTGTTATCAGGTCAAGAAGTAAATGTAAGATCCCTGAAAAACACGTAAACACCCCATCCACCCACCAGCCGCCCCAACAGCCACGCGTTCCTATCTTAATTCATAGGCCAAACAGCAATGCCAGTCCTAAATACTTCTCTTTTCCCCTATAATCATACTTTTCCACAGTCAGACCCCTCTGCCACAAAGTCTAACTCTTTCGCTGCATGCTTGCAAAGATAGTAAACAATAAAAACTACACTCTAAAATCCCGTTTATTAGGACAAAACAAAGACAAAAATTACTGTTTCAGACATTGCCCTGTCCTATTTAAGTGACCTAAAACGTCTTAGTGCACAGATATCATGAAGTCTCCCAATCAGACCGATAGCGAGTAGCTATGCCCCATCCAAACTTTTTCGTATCACATTATCTTTATATTGAAAAACTTTCTAATAATATAGCTCATGATTTCAATAGTCACAAAGAGAAAACTTAAATTATAAATGGTAACGTGCTGTCAGACCTCAGTGTAGACCTACCTTTCTTCTTCTTAACTCTTTACCCCTTCCCCACACCTCCCCATACGTACAATTTATCGAGAATTGCCTTGTATTTAAAGTACTAATACAATATACCTATATACAGAAACAAATCAAGTTTATGTTCGCAGAAGTTATACACAAAGTAGACTTCGTGTGTACCTTCTCCCACTATTTCACTTTCTGTCAGTACCACCATGTCAATATCTAACTCGGCCTTAAGAAATTGGTAGGCTACCATTGTGCCCTCACCCTCATATTACCCCTGTCCTCCGAGACCTTCACCGGATTTCCATTGATTAACGAATTTACTTACTTTCAACGAACTTTTGTTTAAACAACTTATCTACGTCCATCAGCTTCCTCATATTTATGTTTCTGGATACACCCTAAGATCATCTGATAATTCCTCGCACATAATCAAAAACCAATGGCCATAAATTTTTTTTTTCTTTTGCTGCACGTACACTTTAAAATTCAGTCCCTGCACATATTATTAAAAATGTTCTACTGTTAGGCCTACTTTATTTACAAAATTCCGACGTTATAGCTTAAGGGCTCTGGGTACGCCATTTTACCTATGTTTTTTTAGCTTCTAATGTTTGTTAGACCAAACATCCCACTCAAGATGACTGCATCCCATTCAAGATTGAAGGGGGGGGGTGAGGTCAGACAAGTATGTATACTATCCCATCATCTGTTTAATTCACTATGCAGATAACAACTGCAATAGTGAAATATCGATTGGAAGCAGAAAGATCAACAATTTAAGATATTCTAATGACACCACCCTATTTGCTGGCAGTGCACAAGACCTAGAAGGACTTAATGAGATAGTATGAACAGTAAGTGAAAATTATTAACTTTTAGGCAAGACCAAAGTAATGGTAATCAACCAATAAGAAGAGAATCCCATTATTCATTTAGTTAGAGCATTTTACTTATTTAGTTCAATATC